CGTGCTGTTGCCATGCCTTGGGCATGCTGTGGGCATGCTGTTGCCATGCTATTGCCATGCTGTTGCCATTACGCTTCCATGCCATTGTCGTGCCGTTGCCATGCTGTTGCCGTGCTGTTGCCGTGCTGTTGCCATGCGCTTGCCATGCTGCCATGATGTTGTCATGCCGTCGCCGCTGTGATGCTGCCATGCTGTTATGCAGAGGCCACGTTGTTTCCACGATTTTGCCATGCCGTTGCCATGGTGGTACCGTGGTGTTGCCATGTTGTGGCCATGTTGTTGCCATGTTGTTGCCATGCTGTTCCCATGCTGTGGCCGTGCTGTTGCCATGCCATTGCCATGCCGTTACCATGCTGTCGCCATGCCAGAGCCATGCCGTTGCCACGCTGTTGCCATACAGTTGCCATGCCATCGCAATCGCCATGCCATCGCATTGCCAATGCAGGATGACTTGCGGGACGACTCGCGGGGTGATTTGGGCAGGTCCAAGCGGGAAGGCCAGGTCCCTGATTTCAGGAATCTCCTGAAAATTAGCTTGGCGAAGGACCCAACCATATGCAGTTGTGAGCACCGTCGTTGTATGCACCGCATTCCGAGGAGCCCCCTGCAGGGCCACGAAACATGTGAGGGGTGTGCCGAAATGTGTCCGGTGGGCGCATGCGAAAGCAGCCACTGCGGCGGTCGGTGGAGCTCCTTTTGGGGCCACGGAACAAGTGAGAGGCGTGCCGAAATAGGCGCGGTGAGCGCATGCGAACGCAGCCATTGGGGCCGTCGGTGGAGCTCCCGACAGTGCCGCGAAACGTGTGATGGGTGTGCCGAAGGGCGCATGCGAACGCAGCCACGTGGAGCTACGTGCCGAAGTGGCGCTTCCTATAGGGCCTTCCGTGGAGCTCCCTATGGGGCCACGAAACATAAGAGGGGTGTGCCGAAATAAGTGTGCGTGACGCATGCGGGCGGTGGCATTGGGGCCTTCGGAAGAACTCCTTATGGGGCCACGAAACGTGTGAAGGGTGTGCCGAAATGGGTGTGCGTGGCGCATGCGGGCGGTGACACCGGGGCCTTCGGTGGAGCTCCTTGTGGGGCCACGAAACGTGTAAGGGGTGTGCCGAAATAAGTGTGCGTGACGCATGCGGGCGGTGGCTCTGGGGCCTTCGGTGGAGCTCCCTATGAGGCCGCGAAACGTGTGAAGGGTGTGCCGAAATGGGTGTGCGTGACGCATGCAGGCGGTGGCAATGGGGCCTTCGGTGGAGCTCCCTGTGGGGCCACGAAACGTGTGATTGGTGTGCCCAAATTGAATGTGCGTGACGCATGCGGGTGGTGGCACCTGGGCCTTCGGTGGAGCTCCCTGTGGGACCACGAAACGTGTGAGGGGTGTGCCGAAATTGGTGTGCGTGACGCACGCGGGCGGTGGCACTGGGGCCTTCGGTGGAGCTCCCTGTGGGGCCACGAAACGTGTGAGTGGTGTACCGAAATAAATGTGCGTGACGCATGCGGGCGGTGACACTGGGGCCTTCGGTGGAGCTCCCTGCGGGGCCACGAACGTGTGAGGAGTGTGCCGAAATGGGTGTGCGTGACGCATGCGGGCGGTGGCACTGGGGCCTTCGGAGAGCTCCCTGTGAGGCCACAAAACGTGTGAGGGGTGTGCCGACATGGGTGTGCGTGACGCATGCGGGCGGTGCAGGGAGGAGGGGAGGAGGAAGGAAGGAAGGAAGGAAGGAAGGAGGGAACGCGGGGACCGTCTCTTCAAAACGAGGACCAAACACCACAGGATTGCTGAGAACAAAACACCCTTGATGTGCGCAAGGCAACGCTTTTGCCATGCTACTGCCATGCGACCGCCATGCAGACGCCATACTCTTGCCGCGCAGTTGCCATGCTATTTCCGTGCAGTTGCCTTGCCATGGCCTTCAAAATGACCCCTCTGACTTGCGCAAGTCAGGGGGGTAATTGTTCAGGAGATTCCTGAAACTTTACCCCCCTGGCTTGCGCAAATCAACGCCGTTGCCATGCTACTGCCATGCTACCACCAGTTCCACACAGTTGCCATGCTATTGCCACAGAATTGTCGTACTATTGCATGCTATCGCCATGCGATTGTCATGCAGCTACCATGAAATAGCATGCAGTTGCCATGCAGTTGCCATGCGATTGCCATGCAGTTGTCATGCGACTGTCATGCAGTTGACATGCTATTGCCATGCAGTGTCCACGCTATTGCCATGCTATCGCAATGCGATTGTCATGCAGTTGTCGTGCAATTGCCATGCGATGGCCCTGCAGTTGCCATGCCATTGCCATGCGACTGCCATGCCATTGCCATGCAGTTGCCGTGCAGTGGCACTGTGACTGCCATGCTATCGTCATGCAGTTGCCATGCGATTGACATGCAGTTGCCATGCGATCGTCATGTGGTTCCCACGATATTGCCATGCAGTTGCCGCAGTTGTCATGCTATTGCCATGCAGTTGCCATGCTATTGCCATGCGAGTGTCATGCAGTTGCCATGCAGTTGTCATGCTGTTGTCATACGATTGCCATGCGATGGCCCTGCAGTTGCCATGCAGTTGCCATGTGCTTGCCACGCAGTCGTCATGCAGTTGCCATGCGATCGCCATGCAGTTGCCTTTCTATCGGCATGCAGTTGCCGTGCTATTGCCATGCAGTGGCTATGCCATTGTCATGCAGTTGCCATGCTATTGCCATGCGATGTCCATTCAGTTGCCATGCTATTGCCATGCGAGTGCCATCCAGTTGCCATGCTATTCCCATGCCATTGCCATGCAGTTACCTTGCTATTGCCATGCAGTTGCCATGCTATCCTCATGCAGTTGCCATGCTATTGTCATACAGTTGTCATGCTATTGCCATGCGATTGTCAGGCGATTGCCATGCAGTTACCCTGCGATTGTCATACAGTTGCCACGCGATTGCCACGCGATTGTCATGCAGGTGCAATGCGATTTGCATGCAGTTGTCATGCAGTTGTCATGTTACCCCCATGGCATGGTCATGCAATTGCCATGGTATTGCAATGTGATTGTCATGCGATCGCCATGCAGTTGTCATGCAGTTGTCATGATATTGCCATACAGATGTCATTCGCTGTTCATGCTATTGCTATGCGATTGCCATGCAGATGCCAAGCAGTTGCCATGCTAGTGCCATGCGATTGTCATACAGTTGCCATGCTATTGCAATGCTGCTGCCATGATGCTGTCTTGCAGTTGCCTTGCGATTGTCATGCAGTTGCCATGCTCTTGCCACGCAGTTGCCATGATATTGCCATGCGGTTGTCATGCAGTTGTCATGCTATTCTCATGCGATTGCCATGCTGTTGGAATGCTATCGCAATGCAGTTGTCATGCTACTGCCATGCGATTGCCATGCAGTTGCCATGCTGGTGTCATGCGATTGCTATGTTATTGCCATGCAGTTGCCATGCGAGTGTCATGCAGTTGCCATGCTAGTGTTATGCAGTTGCCGTGTTATTGCCATGCAGTTGCCATGCGATTGTCATGTGATTGCCATGCAGTTGCCATGCTATTGTCGTGTTATTGCCATGCAGTTGCCATGCTATTGCCACGCGATTGCCATGCAGTTGCCATGCGAGTGCCGTTCAGTTGCCATGGAATTTTGCCATGGTGTTGCCATGCTATTGACATGCGATTGCTATGCAATGTCCATGCTATTGTCAGGTGATTGCCATGCAGTTGCCATGCGATTGCCATGCAATTGCCATGCTATTGCCATGCTATTGCCATGCGAGTGCGAGCGCCATGCAGTTGCCATGGTACTGCCATGCAGTTGCCGTGCTATCGCCGTGCGATTGCCATGCAATTGCCATGCAGTTGCCATGCTATTGCCATGCGAGTGCGAGTGCCACGCAGGTGCCATGCGATTGCCATGCGATTGCTATGCAGTTGCCATGCTAATGCCATGTGATTGCCATGCTACTGTCATGCGATTGTCATGTTTTTGCCATGCTATTGCCATGCTATTGCCATGCAGTTGCGATGTTATTGCCATGCGATTGCGATGCAGTTGCCATGCTCTTGCCATGCTACTGCCATGCAGTTGCCATGCTGTTGCCATGCAAGTGCCATGGTATGGCCATGGTATGGCCATGCAGTTGCCATGATCTTGCCATGCCATTGCCACGCGATTGCCATGCAGTTGCCATGCTATTGCCATGCTATTGCCATGCGATTGCCATGCAGTTCCCATGCTAGTGGCATGCGATTGCCATGCAGTTGCCATGCTATTGCCATGCTGTTGCCATGCGATTGTCATGCGATTGCCATGCAGTTGCCATGCAGTTGCCATGGTATGGCCATGCAGTTGCCATGCTATTGGCATGCAGCTGCCCTGCAGCTGCCATGCAGTTGCCATGCTGCATGGCAATAGCATGAGAATAGCATTGCAATATCCTGGCTACTTCATGGAAATATCATGTCCATAGCGGGCCCACTGAAAGGGTCGAATTTCTAATTTGGTTTCAGGTGTCCCCGAAGCCAGCATAGTCCTAGCTTGGCCGGGAAGACACCGATCCTGTTGGACCCTGGATCGACGAGATGGATGGCTGCAGAGGAAGCCCATGCCAAGAAACACATTGCTTGTCTCCAGGGTGCCCTGGTTTTCTTGGGTTTCGATGGGTCCGATATGGAAAGCATAACGTTCCCACATCCAAAACCAATGGGCGTCCTGCGGTCTCAGGGTTGGGTTTCGTGTGGCAGGTTTTTTGTGGTCGAGTTCCTGGCGTTACACCGATCCTGTTGGACCCTGGTTCGGCGAGGTGGATGGCCAACGCAGCCCCCCGATATCCACCTCACCGATATCTGGGCCAAGCCAGGGCTGGTGTATGCGTATGCCCTCCTTGCTTGGCCCGGGGGATTCACCCATCCTGTTGGACCCTGGATCGGCGAGGACGGAGGAGGAGGAGGAGGAGGAGGAGGCGGATCGGGAGCAAGCGGAGGAGGACGATGGCTGTCGCACCCCCACAGGATGGAGGCCGACGACGTCCGCTCCGTGGTGGAGCAGGGCTTCGCGCCTCTGGCCCTGGGGCCCGTCGCGCCCGCGGGGCCGCCGGCGCCCGGCGGTCGGCGGCGGCCCGCCCCGCCGCGCGGAGCTGCGGAGGGCGCCCCGGCAGCGGGCGTCACACCGTGAGGCCCTATACCGCCACGCCGCGGCGGTGGCGCGGCGCACGGTGGGGTGGGATCCAGGCCATCTGTTAGCAGTTCTTTTGCGAGCAGCGGGACGCGCTTGTCTAGTTACCCCCTGGTCGCAAGTCAGGACCATAATATATCATGTTACGGGCATTGGTTGCCGTTTTAATTCAACTTGAGCCGAGTGTGCTAAGAATGCTTTTTCGAGAGCCCGGCGACCCTTTGGGTACACACGTCAGGCCGCCAGGGTTCTCACGCAGGGCGCATAGTGGAGGGACCCGGAGGCGAGAGTGGGTTCAGAGTGGGCTCCGCGGCAATGGTAATCGATATTCGTTTTTTTCCCAGCCTTGGCGTCGTTTGGTCAGAAGCCTCCACGAAGCTGGTTAAGTTTCATACCACTCTGTTGCATTTTTACAATACTACGCTGGCATGGCTGGCGCAGCGCTGGGAAACCACTTTGCCGGAAAGTGTGCGCAGCTTTCTAGGCCTCGCTTTGAATTTTGAATTACTTGTGCTTTCTGAGCAGTGCTTGCATTGAAGCGTTGTTCTGTCTGTCTGGCGGTGCGCGGCGTTACGACCCCATGAGGATGGCCATCAGTGTTGTCAGATGACAGGGTCCCCGTAGGATTTCTTGCTCCAGCTCCCTGCAGCAAATCACACCACCGTGCCAGCGAAGCATGGAAATGCATGCAGGGTCATCTTGGGGGCGTCTGGGAAGCGGCGCTACGGGTTTTGATTCGCAGTGAAATCATGGGTCCCCTCAGGATGTTCTCGTTGTTTGCGTTCGGATGAAAAGGCTCATACCTGGAGGGTCTCACTCATAGGGTCCCGTCCATATTGTCACACCGATAGCGTCCCACCAACAGGACCTCCCGCCTAGATCACGCTCATTCGTTGCAATGAACCGAATTGTTCCCGACAGCGCACCTAGTATACCATCCCACAGACCCCATAGCATGCATTCATAATACAGATTGCACCCCTTGCACCGCATCCAATCGCGCCCCACGTTTTGCACAGCGGATTTTGTGCCTGAGAGGTCTCACCCCGCATTGTATCCCACCAGTTTGCCCCTTAAGGATTGCATCCCATAGAACGCAGAGAGTCACTGTTTCGGGGTCCACGCTCCACGCGCCGGAGTCATGTGCGTCGAGCTGCAATATTGCTCTCATTCCGCATCTCCCCCAAACCTCCCAGTCCTCCTCCGCATCCCCCTATACTTCTAGTCCTCCGTCTCTTTCTCTTCCTCCCCCTGGTCCACCCTTCCGATTCCCCTCCTTCCTCCCCCATCTTCCTCCTTTGCCTCGTCTTCCTCCTCCTTCTCTTCCCCCTCCTTCCGCCCTGCCACCGTCGCTGTCGCCGTCACCCAAATCGGTGGTCTTGACGAGGGGGTGGTGGCGGCAGTGGCACTCACATTCGGGCCAACTCACCAGAGTCGTCGTTTCCGCTCGCACGGGTGCTCCAGGTGGTGGAAACACGTAAGCAACATTCGTGCATAGCATTATCGTTTAAATACCCCCCTCCCCCCGAATGCTATGTTGGTTTCGGATCTTCCAAGTTTGAGTGTCCAAGCGGTGATGCATAACCGTGCCAACTTTGAATTGCGGGGGAGTGGGAAAGTGTTGCTTAGTGGTTTCCATCGACCGTCCCCCCGCCCTCCTTCCTCCCTCCCCCTCCTGATCCTCCTTCTCAGTCCCCCTTTCTCTCGACCCTTCCTCCCCCCTCCTCCGTCTCCTCGTCCTCCTCGAATTCGTTTTCTTCCTAGTCATCCGTCTGCTCTGCCCACGCCGTTTTCGCGGCGAACGCTCGTGCGCGCGAGGGAGCAGTTGCAGCCTCGGGCGCTCGGTTAGCTGGTGGCGGAAGTAGTATTCGCGCTACCCAGCTTGCCCCTGATGTTACATGATGCCTCGGGGTCTCCGAGGAAGAAACTGATCCTACGTCTCTTTCCGGTCGTGTTTCTCCCCCCCTCCTATTTCTTCCTCTTCCTCATCTTCTTTCTCCTCCTCCTCCTCCTCCTCCTCCTCCTCCTCCCTTTCCTCCTCCTCCACCTCCACCTCCTCCTCCTCCTCCCCCCCCTCCGCATCCTCCTCCTCCTCATCCTCCTCCTCATCCGCCTCCTCCCCCATCCTCCCCCCCAGACGGGGCGGGCAATGCTGCAGGCTGTGATGTCTGCCCCTCGTTTCGCCTTCCCGTCCCCCTTCGTCTCTTCCGTGCGCTCCCAGGGCCGTTCCCTCCAAGGTCGGTGCTTGGAGCACGCTGGTCGTGTTGCTCTGTTCCGTGCTGCCGAGCATTCCAAAGCATCATTTGACACCAAGTCTCTCCTCGAAGATTTTGCTTCTACCGACGACTGTGTCATTGCATGGAAATCCCAGCCCACTATGGAGGAAATCGCATGTTCGACATATGCTCGAAGATTGTCTTTCCTTTTCTGTTCTGCTGGGCCTCCATTCTCCCTCATCCCACCGACAGGAAAAAGTTTGAGGCAGTTTTGAATGCTTACTCCAGCTACGCGTGCAACTCAGTGATTGTTCGACGTGCTCGGAAGTTCGACCCAGACCGCACACAGGAGCAGGAGAATTATTTGAGCACGGTCATCACCAGGTTTTCTTTTTTTCTCCATCTGTGCGTCCTTTCCTCTTTCCTCCGCACGCTGTGCAATGCGTGGTGCACGACTGGTCGGTTCGGGAAGTCGCAGTGCTGCCGCGCATGCAATGCCCCCCCCCCGCGACGAGTGTCTGAGGCACATTGTTGTTTGCCCTACCGCTGAACCTCTTCTTCCCCGTCCTTCCGTATGTCTTCCAGTACGGTGGATGGCAAGACCATTTGTGTGTGTGGCGTTATTGTCCCATGGCTCTTGGGACTCTTGCTTCCACTGCTTTTGGCCCTTGGCATATTCAGCAAAACCTAACATGGCTGAACACATTGTTCTACAACCGCAGCATGGTTTCGAAAGCATGCCGAGGCTCGATTGCAGCAGCTTCCACGCAGAGAAGGTCGAATATGCCACGTTCCTCGTAGAGAGATAGTGGTCTGAGTCCCATCCTCGCTATGGTTGGCCTCGCTGTCCGATGTCGGGATAGCCTTCTTGAGCGGCAGCGGGCTCCCTCTTCTCCATTGTTGTCGTTTCTCGCCCTTCTCATCCTGGAACGTCTTTCTTCACTTGTCCGCCCTTCCCTTGCTGGCCAGTGTCGCTCCCCCTCCCCCCCCCGTCCCTGCCTCCGCCCCCCCCTCCTCTCTTGCCTCCTCCCCCCTCCCCGTTAGCCCCTCCCTCCTCTCCTGCCTCCCCCCCCCTCCCCTCCTGCACACACCCCTCCCCCTTCCTCTTCCTCCCCCATTATTCCTCCTCCTCCTCCTCCTCCTTTTCCTTCTCCTCCTCATCCTCCTCCTTCCGTAGCCATTTTTGGCTCAAGGAGGCAGGTTCCTTGCGTTCTGCGGCATCGTCAGTCTTGCCACTCTCCATAATCCAGATGTCTCGTCCTTTCCCGGCGCCATGGCAGGTGTTCTCCTTGGGTTCCGCGGTCGGGCGCTCCGCGCGGTTTGTGCTGCTATTGGACACCACCGCGAGGTTATTGCCCGAGCTGCCCGTGCTGCGCGCAAGTCTGGTCGGAGCTCGCCCAGTAGGGCCCGCAAACTCGGAAGGCTCGACATAGGTTTTAATATCGCACGGCACGTCACTGCGCCGAAGTGCGAAGCGTACGTGCGCGATGTCCTTGCAGAGCTCGGCGACAATACGGAGAGCCCCGATCGGGAGGAACCCCACGAGTTGTCGAGGCAGGATTGTGGCGGCATTGCTGATGATTATCGGTTTCTGTTTCCATGGGCGCGCCCGCGCCCTCATGCAGTGACCTACTTGTCGGCGCGCCCCTGAACCCGCTGGCTGAGATCTTCGTGCCCGCCCTGCTTGAGGACGACGCCCGTTCAGCAATCCCAGAAGCAGCAGGTGCACCTCTAGACTGTCATGCGACCCACGACATGGACATCCACTACTTCTACCTCGCCCGCGTCAATTCTCTGGAGGCACAGTTCATGGACCTACGCAACCGTCGTATGGATGATCGGCTCTCTGGTTTGGCCTCCTCCCTCAAGCGTTGCGTGGACGAGGCTATCCTAAACGCTACCCCGAAACTGTGCACGAAATTGCAGGCTGGCATGGACTCCAAGCTCGTTGCGGTGGCCATTCAGTTCGACACCGAACTTATCTCCATGAGCAAGAAGCAGTCTGATTGCACACGGGCCCTGGTCGACAGTGTTGGGTGAAGTCATGGGCGCTATCCTAAATCTGATCCAGTCGGGCCAGTTCCCCTCCAACGCTGATACCGTGCAGGCTACGGTGGCCAGCGACGTGTCCGACTCCGTTTGGGCTGCATTATCTTATTCCCCGTCAGGATGTACCAACTTGCTGGCTCCGTCTTCGACTTGTTCGGTTTCGCCACCGACCGGGCGTCCCACCTTGAGGACGACCACGCTTGGATCAGCTTCCGCGCCGGCTGGGGATAGTAGCCTGGCCAGTACAACCGCGAGTGGCTCCGCTTCCGCGCCTACTGGAGGTTGCACCTTGAGGAGTACGATTGCGTCAGAATTCATATCAGCGCCGACCGTAGGTGACGCCTGGAGGATCACGCTTTCGAGTGGGTCACCCTCCGCGTTGTCTGGGGCTACCACCTTGAGGAGTGCGACCGCGACTGTATCAGCTTCCGCGCCTAGTGGGAGTTCAACCTCGGGTTCTGCGACCGCGACTGGAACAGCTTCCGCGCCGACTGGGGGCACCGCTCAGAACAGTACGACCGCGCCTGGATCAGCCTCCGCGCCGTCAAGGAGTACCACCATGCGAAGTGCGACCATGCTTGGATCTGCTTCCGCACCGACTGAGGGGGCCACTCTGGTAAGTACGACCGTGCTGGGTTCAGCTTCAACGCCGACTGGGGGTACCATCCTGAAAAATACGACCGCGCTTGAACCCGCTTCCGCGCCGTCCAGGAGCACCATTCGGCAAAGTACGACCGCGCTTGGATCAGCTTCAGCGGCCCCGTCGGGTATTACTTCGTGGTGTACTGGTCCATCCGCGGCTTCTTCTACTGCTGTAAGTACGCTGCGTCCTTCCACGCCTGGTCGAGCTTCCACATCGCCTGGGGGTACCACTTTTGTAGAATACGATTGCGACTGGATCTCCTACCACCCTGAGGAATTCGGCCGCATCCGGGTCTACTTCCGCGCCGACTGGGGAGGGCAGCGGCGACAACGACATCAAGCCCCATAGCTCGAAGTTGCCGAACGAGTCCGAGGGCCACTGCGACGCGCGCCCTTGCCGCCGGATTCTGGCCCGTGGTTTTTGAAGTTGGGATTCGCGCGCTTCGTCCTCACAATCTGGCACCTCCAGTGGACTCCGACGACGACGACCTCGAGCCTGGCGGCGTTGCGACATCTTCATCTCGGTACTTGCGTTCACCGACCAGCGGCCCCGTTCCGCCCAATGATCGCTTTAACTCCAATGTCGGCCACGTCTTCCGCGGCCGCTTCAATGGGGACAACGACCATATCATCTACGGCCTCGCGCCGAATGCCTTTATTATCTGAGCGCGGGAAGGCCTGCCCCCGTCCGGCGTAGCGGGGGGAGGGCGGACCGCGCATGAGGTCATTGCCGCTCCTCCTCCTCCTCCTCCTCCTCCTCCTCCTCCTCCTCCTCCTCCTCCTCCCCCTCCCCCTCCTCCTGCTCCTCCCCCTTCTCCTCCTCCTAGCAGCAG